ACCTGTGTAGCATTCTCTCAACTTCCTTGTTCCTGCGTCAGAAGTGAGTTGTAAGTAAACCCTAGAAATGGCACAAGAAGAAGTAGTCAATGTGAGGGTGGACTCGCTGGGGGATGATGATGCGGAGGAGTTAGCAGCGCGATACAGGACGGAGACACAGATGGTGGGGGTGGGGGAATCGCAGGCGTCGGCCCTGATATTGGCTCCAAAGCCACTAAGCCAGGTAGAGCCAGATCAGTGGCACACTAAGGCGGACAAATCCACACTCACGACGGCGGATTTGGAGGTTATCAGGGAACGATACCAGATTCCGGCGGAGGTGGAGTTATTGCTACCAACATCAAGGGGAAGGCCGTCTACTGCGAGGCCAGGGGAGTTTTCCCTGTACGAGGAGGCGCTAAAAGGTGGGCTGAGGTTGCCACTGCCTCAAGTGGTGGTTGACGTGTTGAATCGCCTGGAGGTAGCGCCGGGGCAATTGATGCCCAATGCATGAAAGATTATGCTGGCCTGTGCGAGTGCGTGGCCTAAGGCGAATGGGGGGGAGGCCATGACGATAGACGAGTTCTTTTCGTGTTACAAGGCGTCGGGGCAGCAGGAAACTTGGGTCACCCTACAGGCGGTGATGGGGAGGGGATTGGTGGCGGGGCTGCCTACGTCGATCAAGGGGTGGCGGCCTCGGTGGTTCTACGTGTCTGCTAATGGGGGAATGGGGGTGCGCACCATCTGGAAGGTGCCAACCAGGTCGATGGAGTCGAGACTGGGGGCGATGGCGGAAGAGAGGGTGAAGAGAGTGAAGGAGTGGAAAGAGAGAGAGAAGGCCAAATGGGATGAGCTTGTCCAACCGTCTGCATTGTTTGAGGTGGGGCTGGGACCGCAGCCGAAGAGCGGAGACCTCGGCCGGGCAGAATTGGAGGCGAGGAGAAAAGCTCAGGAGGTAGAGGATCGGGCCGTTCTGGCCAAGGCCACGAAGTTGAAGGAAGCGCAAAGGGACCGACCGCCTCAACCGATTGCGCGGGAGAGGATCCGACCGCGCCCAAGGCCGTTGGGGGAAAAAGATTTAAGTAGTTTTGAGCCGCGGCCGCCTCCTGTAGACCCTATAAAAGAACAGGCCAAAAAGGAGGGGGAGGCTCTGAAAAAGAAGAAGAAGAAGATGAGTGCCCCAGAGGAAGCCGCATATGAGTCTGGGGCCAAGAGGGCTAAGGTGGCCCCAACTGAGGTGGAGGTCCCTCTGGCCAAGGACGCCCCAAAGGTGGTGGAGATCATCCCAACGGTGGAGGTTGTGGAGATTGCTCCAACAGTGCAAATGGAGGCTAGGCGGACTGAGGCGGTGCCGAGCGGAAGGGAACAGGTCCAGAAGAGGCCTGACCCCCAAGAAGGAGGGGTTCGTCTGGCTACGGCGATCTATCATGCGCGCGCGGTAGCTGGAAGGTTGGAGGGAGAAGAAGGCCCAGCCAGGGCGGGGGCAGACCGCCTGGTGAAGATTGTGGAGGAGACAGCTCTGCGCGCGGCATCAGGGTATAATGAGGCTGACCTGCTGAGGGGGTTATGCTCCGCCCAAATGGAGGTAACTACCTTGGCAGGGGCCCTCCTTAGGAAGGCGGGGGCTGCCAAGTTGAAGGCTGAGGAGGCCAGGGCCCAGTTGGCCAAATTGAGGAAGGACAGTGCCGACTGGAAGACTGCCCATGCCGATCTGCCAGCAGTCAAGTTGGAGCTGGAGGACACACGCCATAAGGTCGTGTCGCTCGAGTTCCAACTGGCTGGTGAACAGAAAAGGTTGGAAGAGTCTAAAAGGGCATGCGCCGTGGCAGTCGAGCGGCATGAAGAAGCCATGGTCAGCAATGAAGAGCTGGTTAGGCAAAAGGATGAAGCAGATTCCAGAATTGGAGATCTGTTGAAGGAGTTGGGGGAGGAGCGCGCCAGAGCAGAGGAGGAGAAGGGGAGGCTTCTGAGGGAGTGGGAAATAGAGAAGGCGAAGGCGGTGGCGGAGCTGGAGAGTCTGAAGAAGGGGGTGGAAGAGGAGAGGGCGACAGCGGCTGCTGAAAGGGGGGCCCTGCAAAGAGAGCTGGACGAGGAGAGGGCGAAGGCGGCATCTGAAAGGGCGGCCTACCCTGATCTGTGCGTCGCAGCAGTGGAGCAATATAAAGGGTCCCCCGAATTTCAGATGGTGGTAGACGCCGCTGTCGCCAAGAGTCTGGCTGGGCAAGAGTCTGGGGGGGTGGGCCCATCAAGGAAGACTGTTGGAGGTAGGACAGAGGCAGACGTGATTGAAAGCTTCCAGCAGTCAGACTTCTACAAGCACGAAATGGCCGAGTTCTGGGACAGCGATTGGAAGACGTTCAAGTGCAGAGCTGAAGAGCTGTTCCCACACTTGGACCTTAGTAGTGTAACGATAGGTGAAGATGATGTGGCCCAGACCCCCCTGGACGAAGGCATTGAAGAAGAAGATCTGGCGTCTAGCGAGGAGGAGTAGCCAAGGAGAAGAAGAGCTGGGTGTGCTCTGTGTTTGTGTGTTTTCTTCTTTTTTTTTTTTTTTTTGTAATGAACTTGTGAACACATTGTAAAGGAATGAGTGAATGAATGAATGTATGAAGAATTTAATTGGAATGAATTTGTGTACAAAAGTTATTTTGTTTATGTTGCCAGTTGAATTTTGTTTATTTTGCTTATGTTGCCAAAATGAATGAAGTGTTGTTATAAAAACTGGTCATAAAGATTGGGTCAATAAAAATATCGTGTAAAGTGAAAGTTAAAAGTTCCTCCCTGCGGAGTGTGATTGGAGTTATATGAAAATTGAAAGGATAATAGTGTTTGATTGAAAAATTGGAGTAGGAAATTGTAGAACATAATATTAAGCATGGATGAAGAATCCACGGATGAGGGCAAGAGGCAGGTTGCAAATTGTAACTAAACAGTTAATTGTAAACTGGGTGAGGTGGCAAATAATCTGATTAGTAAATGAAATACGTGAGGGCATGTTTGGAATTTAACTAGGTAAAAACGTGGTCCTGGAATTGTGAAGAAGCTTCAAAATGTGACTAAGTGTTAAAAATGTGGTTCTGCTTGGCTTTGAAGTGCTCAGCCTGGCTGAGGCTTTGAGTGCTCCGACTGGCTGAGACTTTGAGTGCTCGGTCTGGCCGAGGCTTTGAAGTGCTCAGTCTGGCTGAGGCTTTTGAAGTGCTCGGTCTGGCCGAGGCTTTGAAGTGCTCAGTCTGGCCGAGGCTTTGAAGTGCTCAGGCTGGCCGAGGCTTTGAAGTGCTCAGTCTGGCTGAGGCTTTTGAAGTGCTCCGCCTGGCTGAGGCTTTTGAAGTGCTCGGTCTGGCCGAGGCTTTGCAGTGCTCAGGCTGGTCGAGGCTTTGAAGTGCTCAATCTGGCTGAGGCTTTTGAAGTGCTCGGTCTGGCCGAGGCTTTGAAGTGCTCAACCGGCCTTGAAGTGCTCGGTCTGGCCGAGGCTTTTGAAATGCTCGGTCTGGCCGAGGCTTTAAAGTGCTCGGTCTGGCTGAGGCTTTTGAAATGCTGCAAGTGAAAAAGTTATGAGAGCGACATAGAGACAGTTGAATTATGAAAGCCGAGGTCACCAGTCGGAGTTTGCATTATGTATAAAAGGGAAATACAACAATATTGACAATACAAAAGTATGAACTTATTGATAGTAACGCTTCAAATGTTCCGCATTCCAAGGATGGGGCAGGTTTCGGCCTTCCATGTCTTGAAGTCGGTAAGTGCCTGGTCGTGGTCGGGCTTTCACAACGTAGGGCCCCTCCCATTTGGCTGCCAGTTTGCCCTCGGTTGGATTCTTTGTGGCAAGAGTCATTTCTCGTAAGACAAGGTCCCCTACGGAGAACTCTCGTGGTCGAACTCCACGGTTGTAGTGTGTTCTCATTTTCTGCTGGTACGAAGCCAATCTGACAGCAGCGGTTTCTCTGAGCTCTTCGACGAGGTCCAAGTCTGTTCGGTGGAGTTCTTCGGCTGCGGCCAGATCTGGATGTAAAACCCTGGGAGTAGGCAAACCGACTTCGACCGGAATAACCGCCTCAGCGCCATATGTTAAGCGAAAAGGGGTTTCCCCAGTGGGAGTGCGAGTAGTGGTTCGGTAGGCCCAGAGTACGTTTGGTAGTTCCTCATCCCAAAGGCCTTTAGCAGCTTCGAGCTTAGTTTTGATGATTTTCAGAAGGGAACGGTTGGTGACCTCAACTTGGCCGTTTGCTTGGGGGTGACTGGGGGAAGAGAAACATGGTTGAATTTCGAGATCTGCACAAAATTTTCTGTACCTCGAGTTATCGAATTGTTTGCCGTTGTCAGAGATGATGGCTTGAGGGATGCCGAATCGGCAAATGATTGATTGCCAGATGAACCTGGTGGTGTTCCACTCGGTGATCGTGGCAAGGGGCTCAGCCTCAACCCACTTGGTGAAGTAATCAATGGCGACAATTGCGAACTTGGTCTGGCCTCGACCGGTGGGAAGTGGACCAACCAAGTCGATCCCCCACTTGGCAAACGGATAGGGGCTGCAGAGTGTGATTAGCTCCGTAGGGGGAGCATGAGGGATGTTGGCAAAGCGTTGACATTTATCGCATTTGAGCACGAAGTCGGTTGCATCCTGATTAAGAGTTGACCAAAAATACCCAGTGCGGAGTATCTTCTGGGCAAGGGACCTGCCACCTGAGTGATTACCACAAATTCCCTCATAGATCTCTTGCATTACATAAGTTGCTTGAGCTGGATTGAGGCATCATAGATATGGCCGGAAGAAACCGCGCTTGTACAATATACCGTCGACAATGACGTAATTGGACGCTCGGGATCGGACTTTGGCAGCCTGCTGCTGGTCATCTGGGAGTGCTCCTGTGGTCAAGAATAGGAGAATGTCGGATGCCCAAGGGATGGGTTCGTTTTGTATGTATTGTACAGCTTGCAGATCGGGTGAAATGGCTGGGTGGTGTAGATATTCGACGCGGACATCATGGCTGAGAGTAGGATGGTCAGCAGAGGCCAACTGAGCCATCTCATCTGCTTTGGAGTTTTCCGCCCGAGGAATGTGCCTGATGTGGAAGGTATTGAAGAGGCGAGCAAGGGGGAGTGCCAGGTCCCTGTAAGCTCGCATCGTGTCTTCCTTGGCATCAAAGTCCCCCGTCATCTGACCGACGACGAGTTGGGAGTCGCTGAATACGCGGAGGTGGCTGACCCCTATGTCCTTGGCAAGATGGAGTCCTGCTATTAATGCCTCGTACTCGGCTTCATTGTTGCTTGCTTCAAACAAAAAACGGAGGGCACATTTGAAGTAGCCGCCCTCAGGGGAGGTGAGGATGAGGCCGGCACCACTTCCTTCTCTTTGGGACGAGCCGTCGACATTGAGAGTCCAAGAATGAGGATCTTCTGGCTCAGTTGGAGTTGGTGGGGGCGGAGGTTTAGTGGTCGGGGTCAGCTTGGTGAATTCCATGATGAAGTCAGCTACAGCCTACCCCTTGATTGCTGTCCGAGGGCGGTAAGAGATGTCGAACTGGCTGAGTTCTACGGACCACTGCATCAGTCTACCTGAGAGTTCTGGTTGCTGCATGACCTTCTTCAGGGGCTGGTCGGTGAGGACCACTATGGAGTGGGCTTGGAAGTATAGGCGGAGTCGTCTGGAGGCAATGACCAAGGCCAGGGACAGTTTTTCCAGCAAGGGGTAGTTCTGCTCCGCGCCCCTGAGAGCCCGACTGATGTAATAGACCGACCGTTGGATTGAGCCATCTTCTCTGAGGAGAGCTGCACTGACTGCGGTTCCCGATACTGCTAGGTAGAGGAAGAGGGGTTCGCCCGTGATTGCTTGGGAGAGAAAGGGGGGTTGGCCATGCATTTCTTTAACTATTGGAAGGCCTCTTCGGATTCAGCTGTCTATTCAAAAGTCTGCCGAAGAACTTTGAAGAAGGGCAAGCACTTATCTGTCGCACGGGAAATGAAGCGGTTGAGGGCCGCCACTCGGCCGGTGAGTCTCTGAAGCTCTTTGACCGTCCTAGGCGACTGCATCTCAACCAAGGCCTTGATCTTCTCAGGGTTAGCTTTGATGCCGCGCTGACTGACCATAAAGCCCAAAAATTTGCCAGACCCTACGCCGAAGGCGCACTTCTCTGGGTTGAGCTTCATATGGTACTTGCGCAAGGTGGCGAAGGTCTCACGTAAATCAGTGAGGTGATCGGAGGAGTATTTTCTTTTGACTAGCATGTCGTCGACGTAGACTTCCATATTCCGACCTATTTGGTGATGGAAAATGACGTTAACCAGCCGCTGATAAGTGGCCCCAGCATTCTTTAATCCAAACGGCATTACACAGTAGTGGTAGGTACCTCGGTCGGTAATAAATGATGTGTGCTCCCGATCAGATGTGTGCATCAGGATTTGGTTGTACCCAGAGAAGGCATCCATGAAGCTGAGCATTTGATGACCGGCCGTGGCGTCGACCAGCAGATCTATGCGGGGAAGGGGGTAGCTGTCTTTGGGACAAGCTTAGTTCAGATCAGAGTAGTCAACACAGAGCCGCCATTTGCCATTGTGTTTGCGGACGAGGACCACGCTGGATAACCACCTAGGATAGTCCACATTTTTGATGAATTGGGCCTCGAGGAGTTTGTCAACTTCGGCGGCTATAAGAGTGTTGCGCTCCGGATGGAAAATGCGTTGCTTCTGGCGGTGGGGTCGAAAGTGGGGCTCGATGCTGAGGCGATGGGTTATGAAGGAGGGGTCGATGCCTGGCATGTCAGAATGGGTCCATGCGAATACATCTCTGTGCTCGGTCAGTAGAGCAGTGAGGTCGGCCTTGACTTGGGAAGGTAATTGGCTGCCAATCTTGGCGGTTCTGATTGGGTTGGTGGGATCGATGTTGACTTCAACAAGTTCCTCTACAGGTTCACCTCTGACCAGCTCGTCCTCGTCTCGGACGTCAAGCCCTTCGATGATCATGGCTTCTTTTAGCTTGACTTCTTTGAGTGAGGCGACATAACACTCCCTGGCCACGGTCTGTTCTCCTTTGACAGTTCCGACACCGAGATCGGTAGGAAATTTGATGGCAAGATGATATGTAGATGTGATGGCTTGGAAGGCGTTGAGGGCTGTGCGGCCAAGGATGATGTTGTAAGCAGAGGGGCAGTCGACCATAAGAAAGGTGAGCAACTTAGTGGTCTGCCGTGGTTGCTCGCCAATGGTGATAGGTAGATCGATGGAGCCGATGGAGGTCACACAGTCGCCGGTGAAGCCGACCAGAGGGGTTTGGAGATGAGACAAGCTTTCTTCCCCAATCTTGAGCTAGCGGAAACAATTGAGGAAGATAATGTCTGAAGAGTTGCTGTTGTCTATGAGGAATCGTCTGACTTTGTAGTTGGAGAGGATGGCGGAAATGACAAGGGGGTCATCATGTGGGTAACGGACTCCTGCACAGTCAGTGTCGGTGAAGGTGATGGGTTCGATCCATTGTTTTGACTGTTTGGGAGGTCGGTCCACCGTCGCCACTGCTTTGTCTGAGCCCTGCCTGATTTTTCTGAGTTCTGCCTTCTGAGTCGAGCGGGATGGTCCCCCGCAAGCAAGGCCGCCTAAAATAACTCAGTTTTCTCCGACTGGTGGAGGGGGATTACCAGGAGGCCGAGGCTGTGGTGGTGGGCGATCGTGGCCTTGGTTAGGTGGGGCTTGATTGCGGGGTGGTGTGTGTCGGCGATTGTTTCTGAGAAGGTCGGTTCTTTGCCTCTGTGGAGGGCGGGTGTCCGTGAATCGGCTGAGGTGGCCCTGGCGTATGAAGGTCTCGATCTGATCTTTTAGGTTAATACACTCGTCGGTGGTGTGGCCATGGTCCTGGTGGAAATGGCAGTATTTGGACTGGTCTTTCCGGGTGGAAGGGTTTCGTGAGGGTAGGGGCCACTTGAGGGGGTAGTCCCACTGGATCTGATTGAGGACGTGCTCCATGGGGGAGTTGAGAGGTGTGTACCGCTCAAACCGACCGGGGGGTCGGGTCGGGGTCGACCGGTCGGCTCGGGGGGTCGGTCATTATAGTGGGGTGTTTGGCTATTATACTGGGCGGTTCTGGGTTCGGAGTCTTTCCTCTTGTCTCTGGGGGTCGGATTCTTAGGGGCTGGCTCTTGCCGAGCGG